TGGACCTGGGAGTAAAAAATGCCTACTGATAATCAAAAGACAGAAAAAATAAACGTAGGATGACAAATAAACCCTAAACAGATCAGAGATATACCACATACATGAATATTGGGATGTTCTGTAGATTCATAAAAAGTTCTGGTAGTGTGTCAGAAAACCAGAATCCACATTAAGTCCCTCCTTTATGGCGTTGAAATGTAAAATCATTTTCATTGTAAAATGTTTTCCTTTCATGAGAGTTTAAAAAAAACCCTTTTAGAACTTTAATTTTGAGGTTTTGGATGGAGTGATCCTTCTGGGATATATATATACAGGTGAAACTCGAATAATTAGAATATCGTGCAAAAGTAATTGCAGTAAGTGCTGCAAAAGGGGCCCAAACCAAGTACTGAGTACATATGCATGCTTGTACTTTTCAGAGGTCCGATATTGTTCTATGTACAATCCTTGTTTTATTGATTGCATGTAATAATCTACTTTTTTGAGGTTGTGGATTTGGGGTTCTTGGGGTTTTCATGAGCTGTAAGCCATAATCATCACAATTATGACAAATCACGGCTTGAACTATCTTGCTTTGCATGTAATGAGTCTCTCTCATATATTAGTTTCACCTTTTAAGTTGCATTAGTGAAATAAATGAACTTTGTACGATATTCTAATTATTCGAGTTTCACCTGTATATGGTGTGTACGTGCGTGCGTGCGTGTGTGTGTTGAATGCAAGAAGACATTTTAAAACTCGATACGTTTTTTGTCATTCATACTATACTTTCCATATCCCCTTTGCACTCTGGTTAAGTGTACATGATCATTTACATATAATTATTATAATCACAGAAAAGTCTTTATATGAAACTGATAAAGCATTGCTTCCCAACTACTTGAACTACTTGATTGATGTTGTTCTTAAAGTGAAATTATAGTCTTTGCAAAGTTTTTTTTGAGATGTTCATATGATTTCAGCCAGTTTTATCTAAATATGATCTAAATATTCAGATCAGTGTCTGTTGATTTTTATAATTAGGTTACCATTAGTCCCTGATTCCCGGGGACAGGCCCTGTTTTAAGAGGTCTGTCCCCAGGAAACTAACGCCCCCGGCGGTGTCCCCAGAGGCAGTAAATGCAAATTAAATAAAAAAAAATATGGGGACATTGCTGGAAACTTACTACTCATTAGGGCCCTAAAAAAGATGTAAAAAGGGGTGGAATTTGTGGTAATCTGGGGTAACCTGTCACATGGTGCTCCAACAAAATGGGGCCTCATTTTGCTCATTTTGTCTAGGGAGCTATACTCACCCGAACTGTGATCTTGGCTGGCTCCTAGACGGGTCCTTTCAGTCTGTCACCTCCTCCACTCCAGCCATAGTATGTTCCTTGGCATCCTCACATCCTATACACTGTATAGGACGTGATGACTCACAGGACTTTAGACAGCCTGAGTGAAGGGGAAGTGAGGCCGAAGGGACTGGTCTAGGAGCCAGCCAGGATCACAGTTCGGGTGAGTATAGCTCCTTAGACAAAATGAGCACTTAACCCTTGCAGTGCTGGGGTAGCCCCACTGCAAGGATTAAGATCTGATTTGCACAGAGTTCTTTTTTTAAATAATGGAAGACTGTCATGACAAAAATATTTGGGGGTTCATTAATTATTTCTTCTTCTGAAAATACTGACTACCTGTTTTTTATGCTTTGGTCTCAATACTTTATAACCCACTGACTTGAACAAAGTAGAGGGATTGTCTGAATTTGTCTCACTTTCCATTGCTGCATGTTTGTTCTGAGTCGCTGACTCTGAAATCCTACAAATGTAGACCGGCTATATAAGAACAATACAGGTGAAGGTTTAAAGAATAAATTCTGTTTTCTTCCGAGATGTAATGTGTTAATGCGTTCTTCTTTTCACTGTAGTACATTGTGATCTGTAACAGTGTGATTAATAAATATATATCAGGTGTGC